CCACTTAATTCCTGGACCCCCTAGGCTGTGACTTCTTTCCTGGGACTTGCTGGGCACATAGTTCCTGTAGAGCCTCTGCACTTTCCATTCAACCTGCTTGTTACCCCATACATCAGCAACCAGCTAACTTAGTCACCCTCTGAGGCTTCCCCGCAACTGGCTTGCCTCAGTGAGATCCATCTTCAACTACCATTTTTCAATTAAAATCCATCTCTCACTCAGCTACTTTATTATTGCTTATTATCTGTCTATAAAGGTGGCAGTTTTTATATGTTTTCTTTGAGAAGAGTGGAGATTGATAAATATTTATTGAATCAGTGACTAATTCCACATTCCTCAAGTCAGACATAGGTGAAAAAAAACTAAATCACCTTGCCCTGCCTATATGCAAATAGCCCAAAGCGACCTTTCCTACAGAGGAAAGAAGTCAGGGTGATTCTGGGTGGTCACTTCTAGCCATATTGCAGAAATTGGGGTGGCCAAGCTCTTAGCATTTTAACAGTCTCCTTGAATTATCTTCACATGTTGTTATTATTATGGCTCCATTGCTTGTTCTGAGAGAGGCCCATCTGTCTCCTCTCTCTTCCCCACTCCATCTGTCTTCTCATCGCATGTTCTCTCTCTCATTTTCTCTCTTTGACCTTATGATTTGAATAAGTGCAAAATGTCTTTGGCACTACCCAGAGTGAATTAAAAGCTGAAGGCTCTCTCTGTTGATACAACAAAGAGAAGCCAAGTAAATCAATTAGAGGAATGGGGTGGAAGAGAGTGTGGGATGGAAAGTTTGTTTGCTTGTATTAATATATTTGTGTGTGTGCGTGTCCGCTTAAACTTCACTTCATCTAAAAAAAGAACTTCAGCAGAGCCAAGGATATGATTTGTTCTTTTTATTTGAGTCTAAAGAAGAGAATCAATATTTTAAAACATCTACAATTTATGACTGGTGTCTGCATACAGATGTTAATATATGTATTTGGTACATATAGAACATAAGTAAAACTCCTTTTAACTTTTTCCATTATTGAAAATACCTCAAGTAAATTGAAAAGTAGAAAAATCATAAAATGATCAATCATACTTTTTAATAATTACCCATAGTTTTAATCTATTTTGTTCCTTTTTGTGTTTTTTGTTGTTGTTGTTGTTGTTTGTTTTTCAAGAAAGGGTTTCTCTGTGCAACAGTCCTGGATGTCCTGGAACTCACTTTGTAGACCAGACTGGCCTCAGACTCACAAAGATCTGCCTGCTTCTGCCTTTAGAGTGCAGAAGTTAAAGCTGTGAGCCACCACTGCCTGGCTTGTTTCACAAATTTTATCTATCATTTACATACTTATCTATAATTTAGCTACATAATCTCTTTTTAAAAATCTGCTTAGTCATAAATCATAGGCATCAATATAAATGATTCAACTCTTTTAGGATCCATTCCTAAAATTCAAAGATACTCTCCTAAATAATCACAATAGCATTGTGATAGCTTCCTTACTTCCTTCTCTATTGCTGTGATGATAAAACACCATGACCAACGTAGCGCCTGCACTAGGGGATGGTATGTGAGCCAAGAACTAAGCTGGAGACTTAAAAACACATGTACATACAGACAGACAGAGACACGGGGATACGGGTCGTCCTTGATACAAGAGTGCCCAGTTTATTGTGCTCCAGGGAAACTTATATAGGGATCCTTAACTGATAGCCACGCCCCAGCTCTCAGGATCTTTCAGCTGCAGGCCTCATCAGAACCCATTCCCCCTGCCATCAAGGTCTCATGCTCGGAGCTGCTGCAGGCACAGGTGTTTTGCTAAGGTCGCCCCAGCAGGCAAAAGGTCTGAGGCAGGCAAAGAAAGTCAAGGGGCCAGGGGTCTGCAGCTCCCAACAGACCAAGACAATTTATAAAAGAAAGCATTTAATTTGGGGCCTAGTTTCAGAGGTTGAGAGCTCACGATGGCAGAACAAAGGCATGGTGGCAGGAACATTTGAGAAACACAAACTGATTCACAAGCAGGAGACAGAAGTCACACTGGGAATCTCAGGAGTCTTTTGAAACACCCCAGTGGCACACCTCCTCCAAAAGGGCTACACCTTCTAATCCTTCTCAAAGAGTTCCACTAATAGGGAACCAATTATTCAAATGAGTCTCTGAGGGCCATTCTCATTCAAACCACCACACATGTAAAAATACAATTACCTAATATTCAATCCATAATATTTTTTGGTTTTTCGAAACAGGGTGTCTCTGTAGCTTTGGTGCCTGTCCTGGAACTAGCTCTTGTAGACCAGGCTGGCCTTGAACTCACAGAGATCCACCTGCCTCTGCCCCTGGAGTGCTGGGATTAAAGGTGTGTGCCACCACCACCTGGCTCAATCCATATTTAAATTCCTTTAATGGATCTCCAAATTTATGAAGTCAAGACTTAATCAAGGACCATATATTCATGAATGACATGATTTAAATCTTTTATAGAATATGTCTCTTTGATATTTTTTCTTCCTTTTATAATATTAGCTCTGTGAAGAATTCAGGTCAGTTGTATTCTGCAAATAAACAACAAAGAAAACCTGTTTCCAACAAAGTAGAAGGCAAGAGTCAACATCTGAGGTTGCCCTCCTGCTCCACAGGCATGCCGTACTATCCATGTATGCATGCTGTGCGATCCATGTATGCATGCTGTGCTATCCATGTATTCAAACACATATCACACACACACACACACACACACACACACACTCACACACACACAATGTATCTCTGGCCTCATCAATCTGGATTTACACAGAGCCAATGGCAAAGACCTCAGTCTTCTCTGTTGTAGCAAGTTCTTAGGAGTCCAGAATCACGTTCAAGTTCAACAGTACTCTACACCTTGAACTGAATTATATCCTCTTTAGAATCCTAACCAGCTTCCAAGGAAACAGAAAGGAGGTAGACAGTATTTTTTGATCCCCTGCCCCATGCATATACACAGCACAAACTTAACCATAAATAATGGGTAGACCCTTTCTATGGATACAATATAAATGAACGTACATTGAAATTGGTCATGAAATCTCATTGCACCCCATGAAGCTTTACACAGCATTTTATTTAATATATGTTAGAATGGGCAATTTTGAAGTAATAAGAGGTTTTAGAGATAAAAGATGAGAAATAAATAAGGAAAATAAGGAAGAATCTTACATGGATGAACATGGACATGAGCCACAGATGAAGGGATATGGCCATTCATAAGGACTTGGTCAAATTTCAGTTTTCAAGGTCATCTACGGAGAGGTTTTGTCTCACGTCATGTTCAAGCCACAGTATCCTTGGACTCAATTTTCAGATCTGCAAAACGGGAATGGTGATAGCCTGCCTCCTGTGATACCTAAGAGAAATTTGTAAGATGTACATGGATGACAAAAGGCCGGGTAATTATAAAATGCCATGTGCTCTGCATTGAAAAAGAATTTCTCTAGAGTGAAAGCGGCAAGGCACAGTTGAAAGACAGCTTTTCACACCATATCCAGAGCCACGTCCAATCCAAACTAAAGCTGGCTTCTGCCGAAGAAACGTTTGTTTTTAATTTGAAGTGCATCGATGACCAGGCTAGTGATCCTCAAAAGGAAGGCCACCATGGTGCAATTACCAGGCTGATTTTGTCATTTTTTTTATTTCTATGTGTATGAGGTTTCTGCCTATATGTATGTTTATGGTTCATGTGAGTTCAGTGCCCTTGGATGCCAGAAGACAACACCAGATCCCCTAGAACTGGAGTTACAGATGATTGAACGGTGCCGTATGGGTGCTGGAAATTAAATCCAGGTCACTTGGAAAAGTAGACAATGCTCTTAATTGCTGATCCCTTCCTCTGGCCCCAAATTTTGCTATTTTAAAGCACCTACGTTTTGTTAAGATGAGGTTATAACTGACTATGTCGTCTCAGATTACACGTATGCATGTTGGCTTGTTCTGCGTTATATTTTCCCGTATACAGCAGACACGATATGGCACAACTATTCAGAGAGGAAGCTTCTAGAAAGTCTGAAGTTTATCAGACATGAAGCCAGCCCCCTGTTAATGCTCATCATTTGATGGTGAAGATGGACTATGTTTCTTATAATCGTAAGAAGGATTCTATAAATCTGTGGACCTTGTAGTCTTACCTGCAGTTTAAATTCTATCTCCTCCCATTCACGGACAATCTGCACCCAGATGGTCCTGTGGAAATCTAACTCACTCCAGTCACAAGGTTTCGTCTGTTACCTGGGTGTTGATGGCTCACAAAGTGACCACTGCTTCCATTTCTCTTTCTTCAGCCTCAGCCCCACATATCTGTGGGTGGTCCCAGCAAACAACAAGCCCAGCACACACCCGCCATGTGCTTTTAGACTTCTGCTCTTTTGGCTTTGTTATTGAATGGCACTGCACTTCCTCGGTAAGACCAGGCTACTGCTTCGGTTTCTCTTGGATCGCCTGTTGGTGATCAGATTCTTTCCTGTCCACCTTTAACATGTCACCTGAACAAGCAATACATTCTGCTTATGCCTCTGGTCTCTGTTTGGAGAGGGGGCTTTGTTAGCTTTATTTAGGCTTTTTAATACAACTCTTTTCTCCTTCTCTGAATCTCTTCTTCCAGAAAATATTGAGTTATGGCAGCAAGAAATTCAGAGGCCTTCCTCTATACCCACCTCGTGTCTGAGCATCTTCCATATACAATCTCACTGTGTCTTCACAAGACACAGATATCAGTCATTTCCCTTTCTATTCCCATGAGTGTCAACAGCTTTTTGTTGTTTCCTTCACATGATACAAAGCTATTTTAGTACCTCCAACATAGGTCTTCAGGACAAGTCTCCTACCACTGCTCCCCGTTTCCTCCAAGTTCAACAAGACTGTTGTCATTTTCCCAATGCATCTTTTTTGGGGGAAGGGTGTTATTGTTTTTACCAACAATTCCACTCAGCCTTTTCAAACTTTACTATTTAAGAAAAGCAGATACTTTATAGATCAATATATTTTCATTCTTACCTGGCAGGAGAGACACCATGATCACAAAGGTGGTTTTCCCAGGGCGAGGCTTATCCATTGCACGCTGGATGTCCTGACCTTGCGATTTCCCCAAATGCAGGAAACCCGACTGATAATGTGTGGTAGCAGGGGACTGCCTTCACACTCTCGCCTCAAAGAAAAAAGAAAAAGAAAGCTAATATATATATTTTCAACAAAGATTTTCCCATACTCTCAGACCACTGCACATCTCCATGTTGAGCCTAGAAGCCATCTTTGAGCAAAGGTAAACCTAACAAGCCTCCTCTTTCTTCACTGTTATTTTGAAGATAAAGGCTGTCTTCATTTCTGTAGCTCTTTGATGTGAGGCTTAGAACTTATCTGCATATACATTCCTTTATTTAAAAGCATCGACAAAGACCTCCATGACCCGCTCTAACACCCAATGGCAATGATTGTGCCCTTTCTCATCCTTCCCCACTTCCTTATAGTCTAGATGGCTATATAAAAGCCAGTTTACAAAAGATTGAAATTCAATATGAAATAGGTAGAAAACAGTGAATTATCATGCCTGCTAAGGACAGAGGTGGGGGTCAAAGAACATGTAAGTCAGGTCTTCAGGAGGGAGGAGGAGCTTATGAGGAGGAGAAGGCAACCCAGGAAGCCGAAAGAACATGCCTAGGATCATGACGATGTGGCAGTGGAATCAGTTCAGGGAAAGAGCAATAATTCTAAATCCTGAGGGCCAGAAGGATGGCTCGGCGGGTAAAGCTCTTGTCGCACAAGCCTGACATGTCTCCTACTACTGTTTCCTCCAAGTTCAGCAAAATAGGATTGTTGTCATTTCCCCAATGCATCTTTGGGGCAGGGCGGTTATTGTTTTTACCAATACCACTCAGTTTGGATCACCAGACTGTATAAAAACTGAAAGTGATAGGTCACCAACTTGTGATCCCTTACACAAGTGGGTGTAAGGGAAATGGGGGAAAAGAACCTCGTAAGGCTCCAACTAGCCTGCCAAATCTAGTGGGAAACAGCAAAGTAAGGTCATCTCCAACAAGGGAGAAGGCAATTGGTAAGGCTCGAGCATGATTGTCCTCTGACCTTTGCATGTGTTCAAGTGTCCACAGACACATGACCGTACCCCCCTACACACATTAATTAATCAATTGCATAAATCGTTCTGAACTTCTAGCACTCCAAGTTTAGAGGAAGAAGGTCAAGAGAATGGTGAATAAAGTCAGATTAAGGGTCCTTAGTTGCCCTGGCAAGTAACATCACCAGAAAGAAATACTTAAGGTAAAACATTCACCAGTTATTTATTGAATTAAATAACATATTTCCAGATAGCCAAATAGCATTTTCTCTACATTTGTGTGATTCTTGAGTTCTGTGCCCCATTATAAATCATTTCTTTTTGCTCAACTGTATCTGTGATTAAACCCAGCTCCTGCAAACCAGGGTTTATTGAGTACCTCCATGATACTCAGAGAACAACCCTCATCATTAGCAAAAATTGCCACCGTGAAGTTAAGTTGTCCTTCTAGGAGTGGAAGGGACATGTGAAAGGCATGAAATTAGAAGCGGCAGCCTTCTCCCAACCCCCAAGGTTCTGACGCAATCCTCCAAGAAGGGCAGGCTGCTGAGCACGGTGGAAATCACATCTGCTAATCACACTCCTAAGACTCAGCATTCTGCTTTGTTTTTTTTTTTTTCTATTTTTCAACACGGGAAGTGCCACTTCTTTAAACTATTAGGTGAATTATTAATTTTCCTTAGCACAGTATATAAAGAATGAAAGTTTCAAAGCAGTTTTTTAGTTTTTTTTGTTTTGTTTTGTTTTTGAGTTTCTTTTTTTGTTTTTGGGTTTCTCTGTAGTTTTGGTGCCTGTCCTGGAACTGGTTCTTGTAGACCAGGCTGGCTTCGAACTCACAGAGATCCACTGCCTCTGCCTCTCAAGTGCTAGGATTAAAGGTGTGCACCACTACTGCCTGGCTCTATCAGTGTTTTTTGAATCAATTATTAGGACCTAAACCTGACCTTCTAAGAAGAAAATCTAGGTTCAGAAGCCTGATACGTAAGCGTTCCCCGACCCCACACACATTCACCAAATGCCCAAGCACCTCAAAGACTGTTTAGACAGTGGAGAGGACTGAGAATCCTGGGTCTGGGGTTGCCAGACTTCAGCTAGCTCTGCATTGTGTGGTTGCCGAATCCTGAATTCTGGAGGCGAATGTTTATCCCTATGAAGATGCTCCTCCTGGCTGGCCATTGTAATGAACTCTACACTTAGGTCTGGTTCATAATTCTGAGTGATGAGACCAGCTCATCACTGCCATAGATCAGGTCCATGGAACATGAGGTCACACTCACGGAGATCAACACAAGCAGTCAGCCTTAGGCTCCCGTGGTCTGCTCAAAATAATCTGTCTAGCTAGAGAGTGAGAGAAGGTGCATGCAAGACAATGTTTCAGGTTTCTAGAGTTTTCCCCATCCAGCTCCACTACCTCCAATCATGCTGTCAGAATGGACACTGGTGGGCAACTCTTGATTTGAGTTCAAGAATGCACACAGGTTCAGTTGATCTTTGAAAGGAAGATTATTTCAGTCTCTCATAACTGTTGGTGGCTTTGAGTTTGAAGGCATTTTGGAAATGGCTTCCAATCCTTTATGAAAAGCTACTTTTCTGCCCCATTGAACAACTGGCATTATGCTGGAAGAGACTTTTTATTGCTAGATTTGCTCAGTCGAGAACCACGCTTCACATACATGTAAGAGATGAGTGGACAGCAATCACAGCATAAAGATGTTTTAAATGCAGGTGCTTCTGGAGATACTTGAAAATGGATACTCCAGAAAGCCTTTGGAACTTGTCCTTCAATTACGCAGTAGACAATAGAAATATTCAGGCCACAGTAATGTCTTGACAAACCTCTGAAAGGTAGCATTCGAAATCTCTTGTCACTAAAACACAATGAAGCAGTAAACGTGGACAGGTTCTGGAATTAAAATCAAAACCGATTTTGCTAATTGGAAAGAGAAATGTTAATGATGACGCAGGCTGATTTCAAATCGGGTTGCTTCTCAAATTCTTATCGCTGTTTCCTTATTTTCTCTCCTCCCTCCCTTGGTACCCAAGGATTTACTCCAGACACTTAGGACTGACTCAGTGGGCTCCACAAGACTGCACATACTCAGTGTGTCTGAGGAAGGCGGTGACAGGGATGACAGACGTCTAGACCCAAAAGCAACAGGTGCATAGCTAACCAGTCTGTGTTAGAATTATTGCCCAATTCCAGGCTTCAGGTGAGTTAGCAACTGAACGAGGCAACTTCTAAGATTCCATTTTTGAAATTGTGAACCTCTGTCAGTTTGACTAAAACCTCAGGCTCCCAGCTTCTCAATCGCATGAACGACAGCTACTTTTTACAGCGATGTCAGAAGTCATACAGGGAAACAAACGCTCCCCTCCGCATCAACCCAGCCATCCCTGTGGGGAGGCCACAGCAGTTCTATGCTTGGCACAGTGCTTTATTTTTAAAAGGGTAGTTAGTTTTATTCGAAAACAAAATGTTCTTTGGTTGTTGGTAATTAAAAAGGAAGAGAGAAAAAAAAATATCCAATAGCCCAGCAAGGAGAACACCGGTCAGAGAGCCTTCATTTCAAAGCTCATCTAAGCTGGTCTTGAGGTCACACCTTTAAACCCAGCACTCAGGAGGCAGAGGTCAGTCTGGTCTACAGAGTGTGTTCCAGGACAGCCAGGGCTACACAGAGAAATGCTGTCCTGAAAAGAAAAAAAAAAGTCTAATCCAATATTCAAAACCATAAATGCCAGTAATTATGGTGAACCGTGACCACTAGGAGTAGCTGCATTCGTGGGATAATCTGTGGGTGCTCCCCTCCACATTCAGGCCACCAGGCTGGTGTCATTTATCCAGGTGGATGCCTGGAGTATACAGGAAAACTGCGTACATTTTCCTTCCACCGTCTTTTAGGTAACAAACTTCCTCCATCTCTTGCAAGCTAACAAAATACCGTCTGTTTTGGGGGGGCTCACAAGCACCCCATGCTGATCACACACAGCTGCTTACAAAAATCCAGACTTACTGCATGAAAGAGCTGCTTCAGTGGTCACTCGGGGGAGAGACAAGGGGCTACCTCTCAATCTCGACTTCAGTTTGGGTTACAGAAGAAGAATGATTAAGCCGTCATAGCTCTTCCACCGAGCGATATAAACACACACATAACGTGAAAGCGAGCTGGAGATCTGGCTTCAGGGAGGCCACTGAATTCTCTCGCGGTCTATAAATAACACTGCTCAAGCTGAGATGGGAAACAGTGCATGCGCACACATTTCATCTCTACTGACAGAGATTACCAAAGTGAGAGTTGTTTAGAGGGATACAGATGCCCAAAGTCTGTAAGGTACGTCCTCGGTACAAATGAAACAGGCACTCGGGGAAAATATCCCTCCGGTTTCTGGCGAGCAGAAGCAGCCAGGGCTATTGCTCTGCCACCCGTGGCTCTGGCTGCTTTGCAATGCAGTGCTTAGTTTATTCACCAGGGGTCATCAAAGGTCTGGGTTTTTCTTTGTCTACTTGTTGACTCACACGTACACTGTATACTTAAGAACTGAACGCCTCAGAATTGCTCCGAGCAACGTGCGACTTCCTAGTCCCCACCCCTACTATATCGCAGCAAATTATTGTTCCCTATAGATTTTTACTAACACATTACAGGCAGCACAACCATTAGATTCTTCGAGGGAAATGCCTTTCCTAACTAAACCGACTTATTCAACACAGAGGTAATGTGGCATTTAATTAGATTTTGTTGTTGTTGTTTAAAAAAAGCATTTTCCAGAGTTGGGAAGTGAATGGTTTATCTCACTACTGTTTTCCAGATTGCACGAACCAAATTCCGTGCTTGGGTAGCAAGTGTGTCGTAACTCTATCTCGTGAGATCTCACTCAGGAACTCAGGCTCTGAGATCCCAGGTCTGAGCAAGTCCACCGGAGATCAGGCCAACATTATTTGCGGAGACTTTATTGGCCCTATAAAACAAGCACAGAACGAATAACAAGTTTTCAGTGATGATCTTTGGAACTGGCTGAAGGGCAAGGTCTCACAGATCTTGGTGATCCTGGTTGGGTCCGGGGAAATGCTGTTGCGTAGC